CCCCCCCCCCGCACTCGGCATGTATCAAAGAGACAACAGATTGCAGGAAATTAAGACCTAGCACAGGACAAAGAGCCAGGCGGGTGCTCAGCCCAGGTCGGAAGACGTGGCTCCGGCTCACGCTGATGGTGAGACAGGGCCCACTCGAAGACGCTGAGTCCCCAAGTAGGGTGCAAAGTCTCGCCGTGGCCCCATTGCATCACGAGGAAGGGATGGTTCCCCTGAACCCCACTGCATGAAGGTTGCAAGGGAGCCCAGGGGAACGCAAGGGGGCCCTGGGAATGGGTCCTTCCCCGTGAGGTGTGTTAGATGGCATTCACCTGTAGCATCCGGGGTGGGCGTGATCATCTCCATGGGATGGACAAGGGTGAGGCGAGCCATTTTGGTAATGTGACATAAGACAGTGTCCTGGTGGAGGGGCTCTGCGTGCACGAGGCAGAGGGGTGCTTGGAGTGATCGGTGTGGTTTCTGGACTACCTGGGATCCTCCCATGTCCAACTTTCCTGTCTTTTCTTCCCCACAAGTCCCTGGCGTCGAGACCCCAGGGGCTGTGTTCTCTTTCCAAGACTGCTCCTTCTGTCTCTTGGCCTGCAAACCAAACAGGACAGCCTGGCTCCTGGGTTTTAGTTTAGGGAGTGTGGATTATGGCCACCAAGGGTTTTGGATTTGGTCACTTGGCCTGGTGGGTTTCACGGGCTCTTTCAATGCACCCAGCCAGGTATGCGTCTGGCTTGCATTGGATGGACAGAATTGGAACAGCATTGACCTGGCGAGCAGCAGATGTGTCACTAGGACGGTTGTTGGCTTTATCAGGTGACCTATACCTTCTCTCGCTCACCCCCTGCCTTGAGTGCCCACAAAGAGCTCCGTGACCTTGCTGCTCCCTGCAAGCGAGTTCTATGGGGACCACAGCAACTCAGTGGTGAGTGGGCATGCTGACCTCCCAGGGACACAGGCAAGTCATTTCAGATTCCGGCATTACGGTTAGAAGACGTTGTTGCGGAGCTCTGAGTCATAGTGACCCAGTACACAACAAGGTGGCACCGTCCGGGTGGGGCCATTTTCACAGTATGGAGATGTTAACCCCCCCCC